TATATTTAAATGCAATTAGTTCCATACATTTCCAGCTTAATAAGAAATAATACATATTCATTTCTGCTCATTAACAGTCAGTATATAACTCTTAGCTAATGAACATTCAATTATGTTCCCTGAATACATTGTGGATAAATTCTCTTTTTGTTGCTCATATCAGTTCACTTCAATTCAGTTGCTTCTAATTAAAATTCTTTTGCCTCATGTAGACAAAACTGGGTTTTTTGGAGTCCCTGAAGAATTCTTTAAGAGTTCTGTTTTATCTTTATGTACAGTCAGCTCCCTAATTAATGCTTTAAATAGGGTAAACTTTACTGAGGCTCCTGGGTTCAGTTCAAAGGAAAAAAAAAGAAGTTAATTTTATATCTCATTCTCACACAATTCACTGGAGTCTCTCTTTTTCTTGTAAATCTACTTTTTTGTTTTGTTTTCAAGTGAATTCAATAATCGGGAAAGGTGCCAGTTTGAGAACACTGGGAGTTAAAGATCCCCCATCATCAGTCTAGAGCTTTCCTTACCCAGAGAAACAGAAGAGAAATTCTTGTCAAGTTGTCCAGTTCTGCAGCCAGCTCAGGTGAGGAACTTTAACAGGAGGATTCTCCAAGGGGACATACCCAGTGGATTCCCTGAGATAATATTACCTTTATTTTCACTCAGCATCAGCAAGACCCAAAGCTATTTTTTCCTAATTTGTTAACAGAGCTAGCTCAGCAATCTATCTGCCTGTCTAGGACCGAAAATCTAACACAAGTCCTACTTACTCCACTGGGACTAACAACATACAAGCTCATCATTTACTTAAGTGCCTCCCTTTGTGGAGGCCATTATCAGGTACGACTTGCCAACTGAAGTGACTAGGTTCTTGCCCCTGATTTTACTTGCCTTCTGTCCGTTAAGCAGTGTGAGAAAGGAATTCAGTAAAAGCAGCGTCAGGGAACTCTTAGCATGAGGGTTTCCTCTCTGATGCAGCATCCTAGGACATACTCTTGGACTATTTTACCGATACCTATGGGCCAGATTCTCATACTTAACAGACTGGGGACAGCAACTTCCCTCTAGTAAAAACAGCTACAAACAACTCTCAAGTGGAGCGAATCATTTGGAAACTTACCAGGCAAACACTGTGTAAACTCTATGTGTACCAATATAAAGGATGTAACACTAGCACAGAAAGTCTAACATTTAGGGAAGAAGGGAAACTGTAAAAGGAAACATATAGAAATATCCAGGAGAAAGCTTAGCTTTAGGGGTGTTTCAGTTCTATTTAACATTAAATGAAAACTCCAAGATGCATGTAATTCTGCAACTGTCTTAGAAGAAAAGAGAAAGTGTGCCTGTGTTTCTTAGAAGAAAAGAGAAAGTGTGTCTGTGTTTGTGTATACATGCACGCACATGTGTGTGCCTGCTCGGATGGATACATGTATGCCAGTCAGCACATCCTCCAGTCCACAAGGACCTGAGCACTGTGAAATGAACCGTCCAGAACTGCTTTTCTTGTTTGAAGTGACACCAATAAATTCTACCGAGGCACGTGCAGAGCTAGATTCCCGGCAGACTGAAACTGATTCACGGAGCCCTAACAAATTACACCATATGTTATCCAGCCCATTGAACATTCCCATGGATGGCATTTTTTATTCAATGCTAAAAAGATATTAGTTCTAAAGAATGTTAAGTAATGCTTGTTTCAGTTACCTTCTATAATCAGATCTTTTTTTTTTTTTCCCCAAGGTCTGCCATTTAATTTGTCCTTTATCAGTACAGATCTTAAAACAGTACAGGGCAATTCTAATTTCTCTTCCACAGTAAGTATTTTGTCTACTATTGCAGCTGATATTGTCTGCACGACAGACCACATTTATCCCTGCAGACTTCATCAAGGAGACAAGTATGTCCACAGTGCTTAGCGCTAAGCCTGTACCTCCTCAGAGCCTCACACAATGCCTTTCTGATTCTGAGATACAGCTATCCAAAATGTTTGTGGCTTTTTAGCTCAAAATACCTGTGGCAGCCTGCCACAGTGCCATTTACACAGCATGATACTGAGGTGGTATGTCACATGGCCAAGGCACAAAGACCTTTGAGGGTATATGGCTTACCAGGATAACACTGGAAGACTGTCCCAGGTGGAGAAAGACAAACGTGATGTGACTAGCATTACACTTTTTGGCGGCACTGTTCCCTGGAGAGAACACGCTGTCAGCTGCACCCAGATTTCCTCTTGGAAGACATTAGTCGGCATTGTTCCAGGAGGGAAGTGAACTGGCATTAGGGCACCATGGCCTAGAAAGACAGACAGACAGACAGAAAGTAAGAAAGAAAGAAAGAGACAATGGAAACACATTGAGAATCTATTTCTGTTCGCATACCCATTTTGCACAAATAGTTCACATTTAATATCACAGAAAGAAAGAGGAAAATCAGAATGGCGCTTTACATGAAGAAGTTTTGTAGCTAGTCCTTGAGAAAAGGTTGTTGTTTTTCTTACAAGCAGTTAACAGATGCTGCCCTAACTTTTCTGTGCAGCAGTATTATGCGACTGTGGCCACGAGATGGCAGATTTTTGTCAAATGCAAGCAGGGAACAATTCAAACACAAAGCAAGTTTTCAATTTCTGTATCAAAAAATGCCTTAGCGAGCCTGTTTTATAAAGGTAAGACAACAGCCCTAATCAGAAGAATTAAATAGGGAAATGCTAAAAAGGGCGACTTCTTTTAGCTTCTGGTTCAGCTAGGAATTACTGACAGAAGATTTAAAAAAAAAGTTTGCAAGGATTTCATATTCTGCAGTATACGGTTTTGTCTAGCCCACGTTTTATAGAATTGATATATACTGGAATTACTTTGAAATTACTATAGGTTTATTAAAATCATTATGATAAGATATGTTGGAGTGTATTTTTACAAATATCAGGAAGAGAGAGTAAACTGTCCCAAAGGCAGCTATGATGGGCAAAGATCTTAGTCCAACTTAAACTGTATATGTAATTTATATTAAAAACTATAAAGCTGTGTCTGTTTATATGAGAGAATAATCCCTGTCTTACGCTACAGAAATGTTTACTGGGGTTTTATGTATCACTAATATGATTCACGTGGATTGTATAGGGAAGCTACACCTGCTCCAGAGCCACTATTCTTAAAGTTTCTAGGCAGAATCAAAACAATATAGGGTAAAGCTTTTCAGGGAAAGTATACATCTTTCTAGTGACCTGCAGAACTAAAGCTGTAGCTTCAACCTAGAGAAATAATTAGTAGCAAGCTAATGCTACTGTTCCCTCACCGCCTGTCTCTAGCACCATATGCACCTTCTGGTGAAGGAAAGATATTGACGTGATTCCAGACATCAGTTTCACAAGACTTTGGTGGTGTTTTGTGTTAGTGGACCATGGATCAAGGTTCATTTACAATAGATTCACAGATTAAAAAGGAATTATTATTCAAAAGAGATGCTGACATCAATTTAGACAAAAGAATTACATGTGGTCGCACCTTCTCATGTGTTCTGAACATCAAAACTTTTTTTGCACTGTGTTTGTATCTTGGTGCCTGTGATGTTAAGCCTTTTTGATGGTGATATGGCTAGTCAGCGTTAGAAGAGTAAAATATTTATAATCAATATCATTGTTTTTAACAAACGTACAAGTCACCAGAAACATTCTTCTACATAATAAAAGCACGTCTGTAAAGCCAGATGTTTTAGTATTTCCCAGTTCTAGAGGTAAGATCACTATGATAAGGACAAATGCAATGTTTCTTATAACTCTGTATTGTAAATGACAAGTAATTGTTCAGAAACGGATCTAAGTGTTATTGTGAATCACAGTGTGAGTCACAGGGTAAGGCTAGTGACAAAAAAGCAGAGACTATACAGGGATTTATAAATATTATGTGTTAGATGTATTAATCCTTCCTGCCCACTCAGTAGCACTGGTCAGTCCTCCTAGGGAGTAGTGTTTCCAGTTTGGGTACTTCAAGAAAGGTGTGGACTCCCTGGAGAAAGGCCAGAGGAAAACATTAAGAATGATCAGATATCTAGAAACTATGACCAGGGAGAGAAAACCTGAAAACACTAGATTGTTTAGTCTAGTGAAGGCTTGAGAGAATCGTAACACTATACAAGCCTGCAAAAAGTAGCTGCAAAGACAAAAGCGAATAGTTCTTACATCTACCAAGAATGGATATAAATTGCAATGAGAAAGACTCTGCTCAGATACAGAAAAAAATGTTTCATGATATTACCAGAGAAGTGCTGGAACAGATCAGCTAGGGAAGTCATGGGGTTTTAAGAAGAGCTTGTACAATCATCTGTCAATAATGATGGAGGTAGAATTGATCTTTCTCCTCTGGAGCCAGCCCCAGCCTTACTTTCTGTGACAATTGTGCTGATCTGGTTTGTAGACAGCTCTCGGGTTTTTCAGAGCACAGTGCTGGTTGCAAGGATTGGTAATCACAGGGAGACCCTGGAAACCAGCCAAGGGAAATCCTACACTCCTCAAGCTTCCATTATACACAGGCTTCAGTTAGCCCAAATATATCATTATGATTATTCCTTAAGCACCTGCAATTGCAAAACACAAATAATAGTTTTACAGTAATTGTTTTATTAATTCTGATTATATCTTTGTGGAAGCAATCACGTCAAACTGGGAACTGAACTATGAGGCATTTATAATTATTTTAGTTACAGCAATACAAACAGTCCAGCAACATACAGACTAATGTTATGTTAGGAAGCACCAATATTTTTGTGTGAAGGACAGATATGAGAAAGGGAGAAGCACCATAACGAAACAAAACATCTGAACTAATGTCCTATATGAGGCCAAGAGCTAGCGGTCTTAGACCAGCACTCTCTGTGCACAGAGGCTGGTGGCTCACCCCCACCACCGTAGCGGATTACTGGAAGAACCAAAAAGCATGTTTCCTAAATATGGTCAGGCTGAAACTTCCTTGTTGGTTGAAACCAGAAGCGGCGGTATTTGCGTTCGAAGGCGCATGACTGGCAGAAGGCGCTGGAGAATGGTGTTTTACAGCACTCCTCAGCCTGAACTGCCCCTGCGCCTGGCCTGCGGCCTGAGGCAGCCCCTAGCGCATCCCTACAAGGCGGGCGTGGGGGAAGAGATCCCATGTGAACCCAGCACGCAAAGAAAGGCTGCAGCGGATCTCCAGACCTCACCTACTCAAGACCAGAATCTCCGTATCAGCCTTCTGCACTGGCGGAAATGCATTCTTCTCCTAGAAACGACTTCAGCTGTATGCCATGACGGCGTTTGCCACTTTTCTCTCTCAAATAACAGACTGCATTGACCCTGGGTCGTCAGTGCTTATGAACAACGCAACCACCGTATCACACAGCAACCATCGCCTCAGCAAACAGCGCTGTGGTGTTTATAGGAGGCGTACATGACTATGGTCAGCGCGGAGCGGGCGCGGAGGAGAGGGCGGACAGGGCTCCCGGGGCTGCCTGGCCATCGCGGCGGGCCGGAACTCCCAGCGCCTCCCTCGGGTGTCCG